CAACAAATCTATTAGTACATTGTATAACACAGTGAAGTGTGTGTAAGAGGTGCTGGGAAAAAGAAAACAGAAAAATCCATTTCTTTTTAATAGCTGCAGGATAACTAACAGGATATAACAGGTAAATAAGGGTACAACAGTAATCATTTTACATATACTGTAGACCTGCACAAACCACCACCAGTTCTCACCTAAAAAAAATGTTTGTACTCCTCCATCTGGTGGTTGGAAAGCTTTATCTAGTCAGTCTAAAGCCGACCATTCAATTGATGCATACCTGCGAAAACGACGATTGCGCCCATTACGCCGCACATGTTACATATCGCCGCGAACGTCGGAATGAGAGCAATAGTTCTAGGGCCATCAATCACTGATAACACTAAACTGATGAGCTGTAAAAGCTTTTAAAGCGTCGCCTATGGCCAATTTTGGGTATGGTAGTTTTTTGCGCAATTTTTAAGCTTGACATGTTTGGTGTCTATTTACCCAACGTGACCCCGTCTTTTATATTTTACCAAAAAAGGGGGTAATATTAGTTGTTTTATAGCACCTAAAGAAAGCTCTGTATGTCCACAAAAAATGGTATAAAATTAATTTCAGTACAGCGTTGCATGACGGAATAAATGTCAGTCAAAGTACTGCAGCGCTGAACACTGAAAAATGGCCTGGCCAGGTAGGGGATCTAAACACCTGGTCTTCAAGTGGTTAAACACAACAAATACTTTGTATGTGAGTTCAAAACTGCACTAAGCTATATGGCTTAGGTTTTGTTTTTGTTATAAACACCTTCACTGCAACCTGCCAATGTAATGTACGTAGGAGTCTGGGGTTTGCGGCACAAAAGAGAACTTAATGTTATTAAAGCAAGATGCAGCATGGCAACAGTCCTGGTCATCCATGACTTTATCGGGGATCTTTGCCTTTGTCAAACTGCTGCTGTGCTTTATCTTGTACAGTATGTATTCTGATAAGTTATTTATAGCCCTAACCTGACTTGCTTCTCACATGAATTACCACAGTCCAAACTCCAGCAAAACCTTTTCACAGCCCTGATGAGGGGACATACGCAACCTCCAAAACGCGTTGGCATTTTTGATATAGAAGATATTTGCTTGAATAGGACACTTTAATCTTGTGCTTTTGATATGTACCTCTAGATACTTTCAGAAGAATTTCACTAGTTGCTCTGGGCAACAAAATCAGTTAGGGTCCATTCACACCAAAATCGGAAGGTAATCGTAAGTCAACGGAGACTTGTGATTGTACCTTCCGAATTCCTTATGATTCGTTGCATTGCAATCTGTTTTTCAATGGATGATAAAGAAAGGCCACCAAAAAAATCAATGGGTGCCAATGGGGACAGTTTGCACCGCTGCAGTGCGTTAAGTTGCACTGAAACAAAAGTATCTTGGGGCGGGCGAATGCGCAGTTCAGATCTTCAGCCGGGAGAAGAGGAGAGACACAGGGTAAGTAAATGCAGCAGCATGCACCTGCACAGACTCCGTGAGACAGGAAGTGTCAGTTAAGACAGAGAAGTCAGCGCTGGATTGGAGAACGGCACCAGCGATGGAGGGACAACTGAAAACTACTGCAAAGAAGAAGATGATCGGATCAAGAGGCATCATTTAAGATAAGTCCTCACACTAACATTGGGGGGGGGGGGGTTTTTGCCCTTTTGGCCTCGTTCACACCATAGGGAGGGCTACGCCCTCCAGCCGCAATGCGATCGTCCGCACGGGGTCGCAGGGCACATTGTGCCTGCAGTGTGTTCGGGTGCGGTGCGATCAAAATGCTGAAAGCACTATTTTTGATCGCACCGCAGCCGAATGCAAAAAACTGAGCCGGCCGCAATGCGAGGCAATGCGTTCCGGCCAGAATCGATCCAGAACGCACTGCCTATGGTGTGAACGAACTCTTGTACTTAGGGACACCTCCCTGAAAGTGCTTCTTTCAGGTTGGGATCCCTGGAATGGCACCTTAACCATGCCCTGCAGCCTGCAATGCGATCGCATGGGACATTGTGCCTGCAGAGTGGTCTGGTGTGATCAAAATAGTGCTTGCAGCTAAGTTGCAATTTACAAAAGGACCTCTAGGTGTCACCAGAACATCATTTTTGAGGAATGTCCTAGTTGCTCTGTAACTGCATTAGAAAATGAAATGTACTCATGCACACCTATTAGAAACGAGTAAATTGACTTGACTGGTGTGGGTTTTAGCTCAAATTGAGGTGACATCTGATATTAAATATTCACAGCTTGCATGTAATAGGTTTGAGGTATTCCATTTAGTCTGCTACCAGTCTCTCCTGTGCCTTATTTATTATTGGAATGTATATAGCGCCAACAATTTACACAGCGCTTTATATAATGCACATTCACATTAGTCTCTGCTCCCAAGGAGCTTACAATATAAAGTTGGCCTTACACCTATAGATTTTCTATAGATTTTTTTCTATCAGCCTATGGTCAGATGGAAAAAGTGCAACAGATTTCCTCCATCTACCCTAAACTGTGTGGATGGAGGAATCTCCCACTGGGCCAAGCTACAGTATCTTGCTAGTCGGCCCAGTTGGCTCTAACAATACCTGAACAATGCCTGCATCCAATCCGATTGCTCCGGTATTTTGACAGCCTGCGGGGCTGACTAACAAGATACTGAAGCTTGGCCCAGTGGGAGATTCCTCCATTCACACAGTGTAGAGTAGATGGTGGAATCTGTTGCACTTTTCCATCTGACCACAGAAAATCTGCAGATCATCTATAGGAGTATGGCCATCTTAAGGCTCCTATCTCACACACATACAGGACCTTCTTGCAAGTTTTAGGAATGTGGAAGGAAACTGGGGGTACCCAGAAGAAACCCACACAAGCACAGGGAGAACATGCAAACTCCTTGCAGATAGTGTCCTGACTAATATTTAAAGGAGAACTATCTAGGATCGAGAAGTGAGCGAATGCTGGTATGTGTTCGCTCACTTCCCGATCTACTGAGCAGACATGTGACAGTTTCTTTGTCACAGGTCGGCTAGAACTATGAGGATGAGTGAAAAGCACTCACCTCATAGTTCTCCTTTAAACTGGGGACAGCCAGTGCTGCAAGGCGGAAGTGCTAACCACTAAGCCACTGTGCCTTACTGCCCTTTTCTCAGCCAAAAACCTGTATATAAAGCATTGCAGGAGTACATATTCATCCATTTCTGGGCACACAAAGAACAAAACACATCCCAGCACTTCTGCACTATATAAAGCCTCCACCACTAGTCACAATGCTTCTCATCCTTACTCCTCACCACCATGTGTTTTACTAAGTAGATGTCACATTTTCATTACTGATGGGCACTTGCTAACAGTTATTGCCAGCTCTCACTAATTCATATTGTCACTTCTCATTTCTTTTGGTGGCTCAGAGTGGTAGCACGACTGTGGCAACATACAAAGACAGACAATTTTAGTTACATAAGGGGTCAGAGTAGGGAACCAAATATGAATTGGAAAGAACAGGATTAGGATGTGGGGAGGGGTAGTTCTCTGCTTGTTTTCTGTGTGGACTAACAATCCCGAGCATTGAAGATCAACAGACATTTTTTTTTTCCGTTAAAATCAACTACCTAACATAATACTGTACACACTTTTGTTAAAAAAAAATCTTCTGGAGGACAACAAAAACTGATTGTGTTGCAGCTTAGTAAATTGTTCTACTCTACTAATTAGGCCGATGTGGCAAAAAATATTTTTTTGCAGTGCCATTCTTGGAAAAAGAGAAAATTTTTCACTAAAATCCAATAACTAGATTCAGACGTAGATGTTCCTGACTGGATTCAGATTGGTGATATAGTTGATCTGATACATTAAGCAGAGAGAGGATGCTTCATCTGAGGAGCCTGTGAGCACCTGAGTGATGTCACTTTTTCAACTGCCTACGCCTTTAAAAAAAATGGTGGCCCGTTGATACCCATGCCCTTGTGGTAATGCGCAGAATTGGCAATACTCCCATTCTTTTTTTATGACATCCAATGTACTAGAACACTGCACCTACGTTAAAGCCCTACCAAGCGTTGTGGTGCGCTGCATAGAAACATATGGTGCATGTCTGATTTTCAGTACCTTGGCAGCCCACCGAAATGAATTGCCTGCCTTATCGCAGCGTACATAAATGTGAAACGTGCGTTAAAGCCCCACAACAATCTACATGGAACCTTAACCAATTATATCACCTACATTTTGCTTTTCAAAAATGTTTTGTGAATTTGGTGTTACTATTATTGGTGAAAAGAACTCAAGTTTTAAAGCGGACCTTTACCATATCTTTAAAATAACAGCAAAGGGACCTTTAGAAATGTTTAGTAATGACAATCTGCAAACAGATACTTCTAGATAATTGCGGGCCTTGTATTCTTTGCATACCTTATTTCTCTTTTCTTCTCCAGCCTTCTGGCAGTGGCCATGTTTACTAAGGGCAGATTACTAGATCTCCTTTAACTTCCTGTTTTTCTGGCACATGTGACTAGGCATGTGACTAGGACATGTGACCACACACATCATCTCAGGAGAGGAAAATACCTTTCCCTGACATCTCGTGAGATTAGAGATGAGATTTTCCAGCAATGTTCTGCTGATAACAAGGCAATCCCAGAGTGCATTGCGTTGGCAAACTGAAGTAATTTGCCCTTTTAAAGCAGGAAGTGAATGCTCTGCAAGTGTAAGTATTTCATAATCACAGCATTTTACACCTGACATGTCTATGTTATTATTAATCATCATACATAGAGGGATGCATCGGAAGAATTGGATTTTTTAGTATGAAGGTCCGCTTTAAGAATGTCTATTAAAAGCTTATTGAACTTTTATTTTAAATCAGCTACATACATTCCAGGTGCATGAAAGCTAAAGGTGTGCAGAGTATTAAAGTTTGTTATTAACCTGAGTAGGAAAGCCTGTTCCTAGCTCGCATTCTGTAGAGCACAGCTTTTTATAATCTGGTAAATTACTTTGTTCTTTTAGGTGTCACGAGGACAACGAGTGGACGACTACGCAAACTCAGCAGCGATGTGACCAGTCCAAGTAAGTACTGGCTTAGTAAGAATTAGATAGAAAGATGCCTTCTGTTTTTAGAAGGATCTCCTGAGCGTCATCTTGGTTAAGTGGAGGGCTTTTGGTTCCTTTTGGTCCACCTCATCATAACCTAATATAATAATCTAGTTATACTTTCACATTGCTTCCCAAGCCCTACTCCACAGAAACCATTGTATCCCGACACTGTACTGGTGATGACCAACATCCTGGAGCAGCGGAATTCAGCTTGGAATAAAAAACTGTACAATATTAAGCTGTATCAGAATAAAGTAATGATTCCTACGGTTCTGCCCACCATCCTAAAATGAGCACTAAACCTCTTATTTTTGAGATTTGGGAAGCTTTAGCTTGCCGCCTTGAGAAATGAGTCCTTAGTGGAAATGATGATATTATGCTTGTTTCCACTATATGATTTTTTTACTTTGACCTCAATAAAAGTTATTTTTTGGTTTTTTTTGGCTTTCTCCCTATTCAATTAGTTTAGTATCACCAATGGCCGTGCACTCCGCTACTGAGGCATGAGCAGGGCCGTCCCTATAATAGGGTTGCCTCAGGTGGCATTTCTTGCCGAGCCGGGCTGGGAGATATGTAAGGGCCATATATCTATACGGTGTATATAAATCAATTGCAGAATTGCTTCAAACAGAAATCTGTCTCAGAAACAATCTTGTCTGTGACACAATACTTATATTACACAGCATTAGCACCAGTCCTGAGCAGGCTGCAATGTAAAGGTCTCCTGACAGTAGTGTTATTGGTTGGTATAATATTTATTGAATAACATGCTGGGTGAGGGAGGGGGGGGTGAAACCAATGAATGCTTCCAGCCTGCTGAGCGGATAGTAAAGAAAAAGCAGTAGACTGATAAGGTCCTCTCTGATCTCACCTCCTGCAAGCGTGTCCACAGTGTTAGACTAACAATGTGCAATACAGTAGAGCCTGATTGACCTCTGCTTAGCCAAACATGCTAATTTAAAAAGTTTGCTGTGCATGGAAATATAGTGAGCAAACCTAATTATATATATATTTAAAGAAAACCTATATATATATATATAGCTAGATTAAAAGATTTTTGCAGTATATTTGCATTTAAAGCTCAAATCTAAGCAAATACTGTTTAAATGCAAGAGCCATGTGTATTCTTCTTTGAATCCTGGGGTCCATTGTGTATTTCCTTCAGACCAATACAGTAATCCGCCATGAAATAGCTCCTACACTTTGCCTCTAGTTAGCAGTTTGCTGTAATAAAGACTGGTCACTGCTGCTCCCTCTTCACGTGTAGATTGACTGGTCTTCAATCTGCAAATCCCCCCAACTGTAAATCTTTCAGACAGTCTATTGTGGATGGAGCTGCTAGATCCCACCCACTCCTCTGCTATCTATTCAAGGCTTTGTGCAACACCATGATGATATCACAACTACTTTCATAACATCTAGATTTACAAAGGTTTATTTCCTTTGTGGCTATTTATGAATATATATGAATTAAAGTTATTGTTCCTGGAGTTCAGCTTTAAAGGAGAACTATGAGATGAGTGCTTTTCACTCACCTCATAGTTCTAGCGGACCTGTGACAATGAGACTGTCACAGGTCGGCTCAGTAGATCGGGAGGTGAGCGAACACATACCGGGTTCGCTCACCTCTCGATCCTGTCACGGCTCTCTGCCGTGACAGGGGGAGAGCTGGATTCCCCTCTCCCCGCTCCGATCTGCCAGGGCTGACTGGCGGAACGGATGGGGACGGGGCGGGTACAGCTGGCTCTGCCTCTAGATAGCTGTAGCTCGCGGTATACTGAGCTTAGGGTGACGGGAGGACGCTAGTTTGTGTCCTCCCGTTACCCTAAGGAGAACTATGGGGAAAAACACTGACCCCATTGTTCTCCTTTAAGGAACTGGCCTATAAAAATGACCACAAACTCTTCATTTGTAACACAGTGCATACTGCAACGCTATAATATCATTTGCTTTACTAACTAATGCATGGAATGTGTGATGTAGACATATCTGGCCATAGAACAGATATGTGTCCTATATTTGCACCTGTATTAGAGGCCAGAAATGGGATACGTAGACATGCAAATCAATCCTGCAGAATCTGAAGAAGTAAGTCATTTGAGGACAGGACATTAGGGAGTACGTTTTCCTCTTTCTATTGTAGGAAAAAATATATATATATTTTTAGCAAATGTGGACAATTGCTTATCAAGGACCCGATCCCTATTATGGTTTTTTTTTATATCCCCATTAAACAAAATTGTTACCCTCTTGAATCCTCAGACCTTTTCCTTCCTAAATAGTAAAAAATGAGAAAAAAATTAATTTCCCTGCAATTTGTTTCCAACTCAATGTTTACGTAATTTGCACCACCCCATATATCGACCCCAAAATATAATCAACAAACTCAGATGATTAAAATGATATAATGTTAATGTGATTTTTATGCAGCGTTGCAGGATGGTAAAGCTCAAAGTGAACGTATGCGTTTTAATTTAGGGGAGCTTTATTCCCTTTAAGGTTATATTGCGACACACAGGGGGGGAAAAAACGGTTTGCATAAATTGTAAGCATAACATTAGGATAAGGTTAAGTTGGTTTGATGGGGACACAAATTAGCACCACAATGACTTATTCACAGGTTGCAATCTTTACAAATGGCATTGCATTTTCTAACATGAGCATCTGATGCTTGCTCAGTGAATGCAAATGTCATCCGGGTTATCTGACGTCAATGTTGCAACCTGGGGACTAATCTGGGGAGGGAATATTTGTATGTGTTTTTTTGATATACATATAGATATGTATATACTGCATATTTATTTTATTTTATAAATGTTTTCCCCCATGGTGGGTCATGGTCTGGTCAATGGAGACCTAATCCAGATCCCCCATGAAGCTGTGCAGCAGCAGATCACGTCTAATAGTGATCTATTGCTGGCTGCAATTAGCCAGCAATAGATTACTATAACAGTGATCTGTTGCTGCAGGGAGGCGCTGGACAGAGTTGTAAAAGCTCTGTCCAGGCCTCCGTACAGAAAGGAAACCCTGTGACATCACTTGTGAAGTCACTACACTCCCGATGTAAACAGAGTAACATTCACTACTACAGCATACTGCTATAGAGCAGATTGCAGAACCATCGCAAGCCCAGGAGCTCATCCTTTCCACTCCTGGGCTTAGGGCTAGATCTTAGTGTGGACCCACCAGGAACTGCACTGACGAGCCGTCATTTTAAAACAGCTTTGGAGCATATAGCTGCTATCCCAATGCTATTTAAAAATGGTGGCTGGGACTCCAACGGCTGAAGTGTATGCTAAGTCACTCCCTGTCAATGAGCAGCAGTGTTGTCAGCCATGCAGGCTCCTTCAGTTGGCTGTCGGAATATCTATGTTTATGTGACCTGGTAGACAACTCCACTGCCAAAAAAGAGCACACATGGCAGGTTGACAAAGCTGTTGCTAAATGAGAGACATGGGTTTAAGGTTGTCAGCCTGCAACAGGAAGTTGTAAGAAACTCTGCACCAGATTTCCCAAAACAAAATTTGCTTAAGGAAACTGTATGAAGTGAAACATGATGCCAAACACACTTAAAAATAGGTTTAGGGTTTACATGAACCTTTTCAAATGACTATTTTTTTGATCAGACACCTGCAAGCTAGGCCAGAGTGTCCCAACCTTTTTTTAGTCACGGTATCCTTTAATGGCCAGTTCACACCACAAACTCCACGTTCCAGTGCGTTCGGCCTCTGGAACGCACTGGAACGCAAGCTGGCTGGCTCCCTACGTTTAGGGGTGGGAGGGGGTGTTGCGGTCTATTGAAGTCAATGGCTCCGTAGCCACGTCCCCCGCCCGCAGTGTGATTGCCCGCACCCGGAACGCAGGCACATTAAGTGCTTGCATTCCAGTCCAGTGCGTTCTGCAAAAACAGTGCTTGCAGTATTTTTGCAGAACACACTGGAACAGAATGTGCCTGCGTTCCCGGTAGGGGTGATCACGGTGGAGGCGTGGCTGTGGTGGCATGGTGTTCCCTCCTCACATAAGAGTCCCCCCTTTCACATCAAAGTCCCCGCTTCACATCAGGAGCCCCCTTTAATTCTGAGCCCTACCATCACATCAGGACCCGCAGGTTCAGCATCATGGGTGGGAGGTGGAGCAGGCCTGGACCACTGGATGCATGGATTCCACCGACCCTGGATTAGGGTCACAACACCGAAATTCAAGTCACCTCTGAGCAAGCCAGAAGGCCCCCCAGGGTGCTGCAGCACCGTTGTTGAGGAAGGCTGAGCTAGACTGAGCCAGCAGGGAAGCACAGGGGCGTATCTGCCGCGAGGCAAACAAGGCGTTTGCCTGGAGCGGCAGATTCGCAGAGAGCGGCACCCCGAGTGATACTCACGCGGATGGGATGACGCGGACCGTCAGCCTGGGGAGTGTACGGCGTGACGGCGCGTGCAGATGGCGGGCGGCGTTGATTCACGGTGAGTTCGTAAGCCCGGGGGGATGCTGTCGGTGAAGCGGCGCAGGGTCTGTCCGGGTGGGGGCTTGCCTAGGGCAGCACAAAAGTTAAATACACCGCTGGGGAAGCACCAAAGCTTTTATGGGTGTCTGGGATTCCGCTTAGTCTCTCCGTGTCTGTCTCACCTGGGATTCCTGTCAAAAGAATTCAAGTTCAAGTGAGAATTTTCAAATTAACACCTTGTTGATTGAAAAATCAAGTTTTGTAATATGGAGGGGTGTCATCTGAACCACACACTGTCATCAGACCAAACTCCGACCAGTGTATGGCCAGCTTAAGGAAATCTTTCCAATAGAAACAGACACTGCAGCAAAAATAGTTTTCTCACAGACAGAGCCTATGAGATTTTTATAGCTGCCTGCACCCCGCCTGTACCGGTGACACCCGCTCCACTTATTTTATATTCCGGTATCCCCCGGACAGGAAGTGAGAGGAAATCTCAGAAAGTGGACACCGACATCAATAAAGACCCAACAGA